CAAAACTACAGCGACTGATGCAAGACAAATTTAATCTGTGGACGTCGCCATTCTGCAACAAAGCGACGACGAATTTAATTTATATTGACGAATTTTCCAGACATGGTGTATGGAGGACGAAAAGTGGCCATCTGCTTTTCTGCTATCAGAGTAGTACAGATTTTATATTCTGGTAACATGCAATTTCGACTTTTCTGCCACCTCGAAAAGCAAAACGAACATTGTTTGGTTATGCATTTTTCTACTTTTCTGCTTCAAAAAAGGCAGATTTTACTTTTTCTTTGTTCGCTGACGGCCGAAAAGCGGTCATCTGCTTTTCTTCTTTCTAATAGGCAGAAATGAGGATCGAACGTTTGACAACAACCGTGAAGTCTACTTTTTTTCTTTTCTGCCTTCCAAGGGTCGTGAACGGGGTCGTGAACCTCAGGTTATGACCATTTCCTTTCATGGGGATTGAAGACGTATAAACCAATAATTACAGTCCACCCTATCTTTTATTATGAAAGATTCACATGTTTTCCTTGGACCAAGCAAGCTTTTGTGTCTATACATGTAGCTGTAAAACTGTATTTCCTTTGGGATGCTGTTTTCTCTGCCTCACTGGGACACTGATACTGCCGTATGGGATTGGTCCGCAGAATACATGGTTAAGCATTGGTTTCTTTACTTCTTCACTCCCCCCACAACGGAAATGGTGGTAACCTAGAGGTTCATGACCCCATTCACGGCCCATTGAGGACAGAAAAGCAGATGGCCACTTTTTGGCCACCTATGTAAAATCTGCTTCTCCGGTATCACAAAAGCAGATAAGTTGAATTCACGGTTGTCGCCAAACTTTTCGGCCGCCATCAAAAAGAGGAAAGTAAAACTACATTTGTTGAAGCAAAAAAGTGGAAAAATGCATTACAATAAAATGGTCATTCTGCCTTTGAGGTAGCAGAAAAGTAGAAAAGTCAAAATTGCATGTTACGAAGACGTAAAATCTGCTTTTCTACTATTCTGATAGCAGAAAAGCAGATGGCCACTTTTCGTCCTCCATAACGGTTGTTCAAATGTAGTGAGCAAACTCTTAAATTGAATGCTTAATTACTAAAACCGCATTTTCCTACAGCAGGTGAAATTCGAATTGAACGAATTAGAACATTCGAATTATTGAATGGGAAGGAAGAGTGTTTCAAAATAGCTGAGACAACCTATAAAAATTATTATTTTCTAATGAGCCAGTTCGATATTTCAAATGGACAACGTGTGCGCATGAGTTGGCATATGGCCGTGCTGATAAGACAGACTTTCAGTGTATCATCATAAAAACTTGTCTATTCTTATTTTGATTAGACAACGTCTGGGGCACGGTACAGATAAACAGTCTCAAGAAAGAATCATTCTAAAAAGCTTCAAATTTAGACTGCAAATCATTTCCCTTATAAGGTTTAAGAAACCATTAACTGCCCCATCCGACACAATAGTTAATATAAACAATTTCGTAAAGACTTTCAATACTGGTGATTCACAGTAGTGCGCCTCAAAGAATCATCAACTTGTGGGCCAATCACAACGCGCGAAATCTGTCGACCTTTTCCAAACGCGCACTGGGTCAACTGATTTCGCGCACTGTTATTGGCCAACGTGTTGCAAACTCTTGGAGGCGAACTACTGTGAATCGCCTGTATTTTTCATTGTTTTTGTTATAGAAATTGACATTCAAACAGATGAAAGACAGAAGCAAATCATCAATGTAGCTCCAATATAATGTACACGCAGCTTCCAACACTCTCAGGGATGGGGTGCGTTATAAGGGTACCAACACTTTCAGGGATGGGGTGCGTTATAGGGGTACAACTTCGTATGGTGAGGCTGGGCAAGCGAAAGCTTCCGACATCTATGTTTAGGAACCATTTCCTGTTGCTGACAATTCACAAATTCAGCATTAACTGTACACTTTTTTTCCCTCTCCTTTTCTCTTTTTTTTGGGGGGGGGACAGATCCGTGTTACGTAGCCTGTAGAAACACTTACTTAGAAGATTGAGGCTCAAACATAACAAGCTGCCGGGGTACAGCCCCCCCCCCCGCCGCGCACACCAGTACGAAGACTCGCCCTTTGTCTTTCTCGTATACCGTCTACAGAAGAACTGCGCCATCCGGTATCTAACGGTGTCCAGTAGCAGTCGCACTAATGATTGGACATCTGTAATTATGTACCTATTTTATAATACGTTTTAGAGAGGTTGAAGAAACAGTGAGGAAAGTGAAAGTAGAGCCCATTAGTTGGACTTGTGATTCTCTGAAGATCGGAAATTCGTCACGATCGTCATTGCCAGTCGCATGGGTGTTACCATAGTTTCATTATTAAATATCTGTCTGTGTTTGCACTCATTCGCAAATAACGTCATTCATTGTAGATAAGATATTCTACGAAAAAAGGTGGATATTTGCAGCAAAAGAGCGTAAAACCACAAATACAACCGAGTACTATAGTACGTTAACTGGGAATTAGAATTCGTCGAAAATAATTCATCCGAAGGATAAATCGTTCATTTTGTACTCTGTGCAATTCCCGTTAGTCGTTGCATTTGCGGCTTTTCGATCACAGCACCAGTAATGAGGGTTATTACCACGTTTACGTAACGTCCTTAATATTACGCAATAAGTACATTAAAATAGAGAGTGTTCTGCAGGAAGATTTTTTAAATTCTTACCCCGTAATTTCCCAGTCATTGCTGCAATGTTAGCAACGTTAGGGGATTTTGTTCTCTTTAAGCTCTGAGCATTCAACAGCAGTACTGATTGAAAATGACACAGGGGAAAATTTCACAATGTCCCATTCTTTTGGGGAAGGAATTGCAGCATATCAAACATTTTTGGATGAGAGCAAAAGTGTTTGATCGACTGAGGAAGTGATATCCTTGAGTCCCACAAGTACGCCCTCATCGGTTGAAAAGAGCCATTGGTTGGGAGTGCTCAATTTGTTGGTAGCGAGACTGCAACGTTTGCGTTTCATAGTTGTTCGTGAACCAGCGACGCGTAGTTTCTGGGAAAAATTGCGTCCTCTCTTTGGTCAAGCTCCGGGCCCATTGCGTGTGCGAAAGAAAATTCCCGCCAGTTAAACCAGCTTTGAATTTACTCAGCGAGCCTTGAGTCCACGATTTCAGGGTAACATCTCCCTTGATGTTTTGAAGGACCAGCTGCCGACTGTACCCTCTGAGTAATAAAAGATTGAAGCCATACTGAAATCCCAGACGGGTGGGTCAATTGCCTACAGTACTGTCTAACGTGTAAGTTGCAGTAATCATCCGTTAGAAGAATCAGCATCTTGATTCTGAGATGGAACAAAATGAAACAATACAACATAATTGCACGTGACGTAGAACTGAATGTACGTTTTGTTAATCCTCATAAAACTCAAAGTGACACAAAATTCAAATGTACAGATTCACTACAATATTATTAAAAGGAACTTAAATGCGTTCAATATACCACGAGGCTTATTGAATACAGCCCATCCAGTTAGTAAAGAATAAAAGAAATATTCGTACTTTTTCAGAAAGCTTGTTCCTTGATCCTCCAATTCATGTTGGCAGAAGCACGTCAAATGAGCAATGCAGTCTCATTCCATGCCACACCTGTCAGGTTTTCCAGTCCAAAAGGTCCTAGATAATTTCTTCGGGGCGCTAGAGTAAGGTGTGACTAAGCTTTGAGCCCATGGTGGGTAGAACAGAAGGCCGCACCCTGGTGATCCTTGTCCCTCAGTGATGACGTCAACATTAGGAATAAATCCCCTCACAATCAGATGGCGCCTCCGGGACCCCGTGCAGAAATCGCCCAGAATCTCAAAGGCCAAAAGCTTTCCGTGTTTATTGCTTTGTCAGGAATAACAAAGTTGGAAATAAGAGTACACCATTGTCGTGGATGGCATAGGCCTACAGACGCATAAAAATATGATCCAAAATAGTCAATTGATTATTTGTCTGTTTGGTTTTTCTTTAACTTTTAACGAGCGCAAATAATGTGCCGTCACCAGGATTTTTAGTACGAGCAAAGAGTTCTGACAAAGAGAAAAAAATACAGTTTGAGATCACACTGTTATCAAGATGTATTTTTGCGTTTGGGGTGTTTATAATTTATATAACGGGTTTTGCCCTTACCCAACGTATATATTAATAAACACTGTATACTCAGTGCTTGTCCGAGAGCTGCAATAAAAGTCACAAGCTTACTCGAGTAGGACCTCCTACGACCTCCTACATCTTGAAAATAGTTCGCGGTACACGCTGCTTCACCTGACTCGGACCGGCCAGCAGACCCCGGCAAACTCGGTGGTCGAGTGGTTAAGACGTTAGCACTGGTAAGCTGAGTTCCACCCAAGTTAGCTTGTGACTTTTTTCGCAAGCTCTCGGACAAGCACTGAGTTGTTATTAATATATACGTTAGGTGAGGGCAAAACCCGTTATATAATCACATTGTTAATTCGAAATTCACCTATTGACACCTGTTGACAGGCTCTGTACGTTAAGATGGACTAGATGCAAGCATGAGTATGAAGTGACATTTGTGATTATCAATGGTATTAGTTTTCTCATTTCGGAAAAAGAAAACGAACTACAAGTGAGAGTCGAAGATTGAGTTTGCTTTCATGTAAACCACAATCAATACACAGGAGTATCTAACTGTTCGCCAATCCTAATCTTTCGCTAGAGGGCGCTTGGAAGAAAAAATGATTACTTGCACAAAATTCATGTAACAGAAGGAAGTCTTTTGCAGAAGACAAATTGATTTCTTAAATTTAAACAAGCTGAAGCCAGTTTGAAACATGTGTTCTTAATGACATGCAGAAAATTGCTAAACGATGAGTCAGCAGTTGCTTTTCATAAACACTGGCGCTGCTTCTTTTGTCATTTGCCAATAACAGCAATACGAAGTCCTGATTACCCTCCTACGATGAGATTCGACCTGATCAATTGTCCAGACGACACTTTGCATCACAATTCTTTTTCCAAAAATATACACCACACGGCTCAACTTACATAGGCAGCGACAGCTTCCAAGGGCATCAATAATTTGGATCAATCAAGGATTGTCTAAAGGAAACAAAGTCAAGCACAGTTGTCAAATAAAAGACAGGGCAGCATTTACTTGGTTCAACAATTCCTTTGAAATTTTGTTGACGTAGTAGTGCGGATGGATATCAAATTGCTGTGATGGAGCCAATGTGAACGCAACACGAGACAGTTTAATAGGAAACCTCAGCCGGCAAAGCTCTGATTATAACAGTGCCCGTCTGAACCAGTTACGTATCGAAGGTTCAAGGTAAGCTGAATGAAATTTATGTCTAAAAATGAATAACTCGAAGAAAAATAAAAGTTGAATTTAGCAAGTGGTGCTTAAAGAAGCAGTGAAAGAGGCAGTTGTGTGTGAATCAAAAACTCTTGTTGAAGCAAGGTGTGTGTAGTTGAAGTTTGTGTTATAAGTGTCGGTGTCTAATATCTGGGTTCTTGATAATAAGAGGCTATGATTTATAATCGGATTCATCGGTATCATTTAGCATAAAGATGACTGCTTGAAGGAATTCGAGGGAACTTCTATTCACACCTGAACGACTCAACTCTAGGATTTCATTTTTCACCATCGGTTATATTAACCCTAAAGGAGCCGCCCCAACAAATTCCTGGTATCACCACAGTGCATTGTTTTCAGGAGCTGAACCTTTAGGAGCTTTTAGAGTAACTCTTTGCAGTCATTTTGACACTAATTTTGTAAGAATCGGACATACTGTTCTTGCACAGCGCACATATTGCCGAGACGGTTAGGCCAATGAACTGATCTACTGTGGTGCTCAACGCAAGTGGACATGTAGCCTTGATCTTTAAATGACCGTATCAACAAAACCGTACGTTTGATTGAGTTCAAACTTCACATTTAAAATGGAGCGTTTGTACATGTATGCTAAGTTTTTTAAAAATCAGGAGAGGCACAGCGGATTTCTTTGGGGGTACAATCCACTCCTCCGGTCCCCCGTGTAGCATGGGCCAAAATAACCCGGTTTGTTAGGGTTAAAAGTGCTTTTGCATACTCTAAAAATATCGTTGCTTTTTACGGGTCAGTAATTTCAATTTTGCTTGCTGGAAGCTTTGTGAAATCTTTGTGAAACAACTTCAAACACTAAAAAACTTGAAGGACAGCGTCAACAAAGTAGCGTGTCCAGCTTGGAACAATTGTTTCTTTTATATGTGTGTTTATAAGTGTAGTGGGGCAATCGTGTGCCTTGCTTGCTATTTTTGGGAATTGAAAGCGGCAGAATTTTAGAAAGAGTACTACCGTTTTGCTTAGCGGGGTATTGAGAGTTCTTTTCATGACCCCCTCCCCCGAACCGAGACGTGGAAATGCCACAAGGTCAACATTGACAAAGGGATGAAGTCATTTGTTTGTTTCCGTGAAAACTACATCCTCCAAGCATATGTTTGTTGGTGAGGATGCTGGGACCGAGAACGTTATAGTTTCACATCTATCTATTCTGTACAAGGTTTTCAAGGGCCTATTTTCTCTATTAATGGCATGAGCAGCTCTGAATAACTTCACGTTGTGTGTGACCTTCAAAACCTTCATTTTAGAAATAGTACCACCAACTTTTGTTGGGGTGCGTGAGGAGCCTTTTACGGATGAAATTACTTGACTATATAATTTGTAGAACAAATTCTCGCAACCCCTAAGATCTTGATGCACCACTGGGTAAACATCGAAAAAGGGTCACTCAATAACATTGTTTGTCTTCGTGAAAACTACGTCCTCAAGCAAATATTTGTTGAGACCTGTTTTATTTCTCTGTGGGTTTACGCAATCATCACTTACACAAGCTCCCGCCGTTTCACACCCATGAATGATAAGGCTGTATTTGGTAACGTCGATGGCAAAAAAATTCGTCCTCTGGTTCAGCAAAAGTTGGATTCGAATCTTTTCTGGAAATTTTTCTCCAAAAGTATATACGTCGTGAATTTTAATTCCCATCAAAAACTGTCGTCAGTGTTTAGGAATAGACAGGCGGATACGACAGGCCAGAGAACGGACGGGGAGTGTGGGAATGATTTTTGTCAGGCGTAATCATTTTTTTGAAAAAAAAAATGATTACGATTATTTTTTTTACTTGTTCAGATTAATTTAAATTGAGACACTGGTTCAGCAAAAGATGGAAACCCACTTGTCTGAGATGAAGGATACTGATGCTGCCATGGTAGATCTGGTAGACACCCAAGCAATGTCTGACACCTCCTCAGAAAGGCGTCGTACCTCCTGGCGTACCTGCTGCGTTGGTTTTCTTCGCCGTAATCTCCTAGTCGTTCTTCTTCTGCTTTCTCTTCTTCTCGGCCTCGGAGTGGGTTTCTTTATCAAGCTGGGGACAGATCTGACTTTTACGTCCAAGGAGATATCCTACATCGCCTTCCCTGGTACCCTGTTCTTAAACATGCTGAAGATGGTCATCATACCTTTGGTGGTTTCAAGTCTGGTGTCAGGCATGGCTTCTCTTGACAAACGTATGTCTGGAATCCTCGGCCTTAAGGTAAGTTTCCTGACTGCTCCCTCACTGCAGTTTTTATACCAGCCATTTACCACATGATGGTAAATTAGTACAAGAACGTCGACTTTCCAGAACTGAGGTGGAAATTTTGTATTGTGTTTAAACTGAAATTAACTGACACATCAGTAACAAATGTATTACCTCTGGCAGATCCAGTCATGCATATACACAGGTGCCGTTTTCATCGTTTTAGCCTGTAGCTTCTTAAATATTCTTTCGAAAAGGAGGACCATATCTTTAATAAAAAAATACTGCAAATATGGCAATAGATATACTTATATTCATTAAGAAATACCTTTGCTTAAATATATTTCCATATTCAGTTTTAGTCATTTGTATCTGAAATATCAACTTCCACTCTGCAGGCTTTGGTGTACTACTTCAGTACAACATTCATAGCTGTAGTCCTTGGCATTGTCATGGTGATGTCAATACAACCAGGCAATCGACAAGAATCCACGGATATTGATCGATCTGGCAACACGGAGTATGTCAACACAGCGGACGCCATACTGGATCTGCTAAGGTAAACTAAAGCCCCAACGGGCCGCATACGAAATTCGTAATCAGATTTTGGTCCCACTTCTGTTTATAGAATTTCTATTGCTGGGCCTCCGTCTTAGCTTTTGCCAGTCAGTGGAACGCAAACTACAGCTTGTCGTCACTTCAAAAGCAGAAGCATAATAATTCCCGAGTGTTTAAAAAATCCTTTTCAGCTTTTGAAATAAAAAATCAAGAACATTTTAATACCTTGCTCTTTCACACTAATAGCAAGATGTACGTTTTCGGAAGAAAGTATTTCCAAAGACATTTTTTCCTGCAACTTCGGCTGCCTGTTCAAAACGCAATGTTTGCAAACAAGAAAAGGGTTTATACCTCGTGCAACTAAGCCACTTAATTGTGCATATTTTGAAAGAGGTGCCAGTTAAGTGAAACGCTTCAAATATCACTCAGAGGACGCGGTTGTTGACCGTAGCTTCAAGGAAACTGGAATAACACTGGAATTAAAACCATTCACTGATGTTGCTGATAAAAATAGGCCTACTTAAAGCTGTATCATTGTTAAGGAGAGTCTTTGTTTAAAGTGCCAGAGAGATTGGCTTTTTGACTTTGAAGGTCTCTTCTTGGCCCTGATCAGCAAATGTCTGTAGACAAAGAACCCTGATTTGGACCTTAAGGTCGTGGGCTTCTAAGAGTTATTGGCTTTGGTACTTATTGATACACTTGTCATCTTCTCTACCTCGATGAAGAGACAGCAATATTGGTGTCCTTCCAAGTTTGCCCCTAATTTCGTTAATAGAGGGAGCTGATTTCCATTTTTTGATGACAAGAAGTCTGGCTTGGATTGATAAATATAATCGACTCTAAATTAATATAGTAGTAAAAGTTGCTTTCAAGGGGAAAAGTGAAACATGGAATTATTACTTTTTGATGACGTGGCCCACAGGGTCATTGCAGTGCAAAAGTATTAACTGTCATCTGCAAAGAAACAGCCACAAACACTTTTTCCTTAACTCCAGTCAAATGACCTGTTGACGTAAGGACTTTGGTTCTGTAAACGACTTCGTGTTTACCCGCTTTTGAATGAAGTGGGAATCACGATTACCATCGGGGCACTCTTTTCAAGCATGTTTCGTTTTCAAGCATGTTTTGTTTACGATACCGGTGTTGGCAAATGCGTTCTAAAATAAAACCTCGAAGATTCATCACCTCCCAAAAAAGACGATTAACGTTTTTTCTCTACAGTAGCTCAGTGACAGCTTTTTATGATATAAACATAGTAGGTCCACATGGGGTTTGCTTTAGAGCAGGGCAAAAATGAAAAAGAAACAAAAACTTTAAAATGTGGTAGTTACTGTACGCAAATACACCGATCCCTAAGAAAACAGAATCCACCTGGTTACTGATGGGTGACATCCCCATCGGTCCCAGCTGATGATTCAGGGTTTGAACAAGAGGCAGCATAGATTGAAGTCTGACCTTTGATAGAGGATTATTTTGCCCGCTTGGCGCAGTTAAAAGTGTGTGTGCGACGTTGTTGATGAAGTGACAACTGTTCCTTATTTCACCTTTTGATTTCAGAAACATGTTCCCGCCAAATATTGTGGAGGCCTGCTTCCGTTCAGTGAGTAAAGTCAAAGGTCATCGGAGTATTGGGGCCTGTCCACTTTGTCCACACTGCCTCTTAGCTGGTGATAAAATGGAGAAACTGAAACTACAGTCGAGCGCCATGCGTATTACTCTCTTAGTCCCCTCTTTGCGCTTTTAGGGCTAAGAATGCATTCCCTTTCCTCCGTCTCATCATTATTAATGTTTATCTTTTTTGCCTACCTTCAATTATTCTTGTTGATTTTAAAGTTTTAAGGTTTGTCCATCGGGACCAGTGTCAACAGTGGCTGAAATAAGGAGTAGCTCCACGCTCAACTCCAAAATTGAATATTGAACTAACAGGCAACTATTCTGTATTTTATACAGTACAAGACTGTTCAGACACCAGAGATGATGGTGGATGACCAATCTGGGACCATGACGACCGAAGACGGCGTTACTATGGGTACCACACTCGAGCCTGAGATCACACTGGTGTCCGTGGGCGGGTACCAGGATCGAAGCAACGTACTCGGCCTGGTAGTGTTCTCCTGTGCCTTGGGTATTGTGCTGGGTCGTATGGGGCCGGAGGGAGAACCACTCAAAGCCTTCTCCAACTCTATGATGGAGACTATTATGAGGCTGGTTTGCTGCATCATTTGGTAAGAATACTAACCTGCTTAATTACACTGGGTGGCGACAGACTCAAGGGCGATATGCTGCTGACAATAATAAGTGCCTGTAGAAGCCGCTGGCTGTCTGGCTGCAGCCATTCCATACTCAGGTGTCCTTCAAAGAGGCAGCTAGACAATTGAGACACCCTTGGGGTTCCTGGTCGATTGAACAGACGCCATACTACTTTGCTAAATGGACAATAACAATTATCAGATTTGTACAGTTCTTCAAGTTGTAATATCATTCATGGCGTAAAAAGGCACTGCGATTATAGTCACCATAAGAATGAGAGTACTGTTTCAGGTTTTAAAAAACGGGTAATTTAAAAATATTCGACAATGCCTTGCAAGAATGGGTTGAATAGTGGGTGGAGATTTAATTTGCGATTTTGTAAAACTGAGTGTGTGCTATGTTGAACCTATGACAGGGACTTCAGACACAACGCTTCAGTTGCTTAGTGCGGAATCAAACTGTGCATCAGTCTTATTCCGAGAATCTATGTGATTGATATATGCCTTTTTGCTGATTGATCACCTTTACAGGATTTCCCCCATTGGAATCTTCTTCCTCATCCTTGGTAAGATTCTAGACATGGATGACTGGGTGACCGTCTTCAGTCAGATTGGCCTGTACTCGGCAACCGTCATCTCTGGTCTTCTCATCCACGGACTCATTATTTTACCTCTTATCTTTGTCATCTTCACTCGTAAGAATCCCTTTGTCTTCATGAAAGGTGTGTCACCAGCGCTGATGACTGCCTTTGCCACTGCTTCAAGGTAGGAAATACTGGCGTCTTGTTTTGTGCATTTAACAATGTCTTGTCTGAGTGTTTAATAACGAGCAGTTTAATGGAACTAGAACAACATCTGACAATATTTAGATCGGTCATAATACCGTCATCGACCTGATGACACAAGTATAACAGGACAAGGCTGCCATTCAGAAGCAGAGTTTTAATATTAAGCAAAGCAACGAGGAAAGCTCGAAAATAACTTCACGAAATATCCCTCGAATGAACTGTCTGTACAATCTCATTTTATTTCAGCTCGGCCACGTTACCACTGACCATTAACTGTCTTGAGCAGAACAATGGCATAGACAAGCGTGTCACACGCTTCATGCTACCAATTGGTGCTACAATAAACATGGATGGAACCGCTCTCTACGAAGCAGTGGCCGCCATCTTTATCGCCCAAGTCAACAATTTGGAAATGGACGTGGCTACTGTCATAACCGTTAGGTAAAGTGAGATAAGTGGTACAAGTAGGTACAAAGCCTGATCAAGTTTGTCCAGGATATGAAAATAGCCACATATGTACAGTGTGAGGTGTTTCTGTGGGTTTGAATTGCCGGGATGTTCACCCTGTTACAAGTGTATTTATTGAGTGACAAATGTGATGGCACCAGCGCAGTAAAATGGCGAGAAGATTTTTGTGGATGTTACCCAGAATTTTGTGGTTGCACACACACCTAAGAATTTGACAATGAATGCGCACAAAATCTTCATGAAAAGTGAAGCACAGTTTCAACTCTCTATTGAGTAGAAAATATTTGTGACCTAACCATCTGTGTAGATCACATTACACGTACAAATGCAGGATGTGCACAGCATATATTGTACCATTGTACCCAGTGATTATTGTTTGAAGCTTTTCAGTGGTCATTGTAACTGTCACATATAAATTTCTCCACGTCTGAACACTCAATTTATACACCATACAGACTTCTGCAGTTGTTCATCCACCATTTGTTTATTCAAAAAACTTCAAATGATGACATCTTGCCATCTCGCGCCTTATACCATCATTGTGAATGAGCGAGTAACTGAGGTTCACTATATGAAAGGAAAAAAATAAAATAAATCGCCTTAAGCACAATGCACAATGATGGCTTACATGAAGTACATGTACAACGCACATAACGCAAGTAAACACATGTGCATGCAATCCAAACCTACGTTTTTTAAACCCCCCTGAAATAATGCTTACGTATGTCCCTAACCCCCCCCCCACAAGACCCAAATGTAGAATAACTGTTCATAATATAATTACCGACACTTGTGGAGTCAGGGATATGAAATTTCACGATACAGAATGTCCACGACTACTCCTTCGGAGTTCTCTTTTTTCATGACGCTCGACGTGTCCGTGCAAGGTGCTCTCCCTTATCCAAAGGTAAACAAGCGAGGGGCGCTATTCAACAAATAATAATGTTACTGCACGACGCTGCAGTCATTATTCACGATTAAGGTTGTAAAATAGTTAAAGAGGATATCTGAAATCAGATATTTTTTTTAATAAAAACAAGGACCTCTTTCAAAGTCTTCTAGGTTAAAACTAACTCCTATGGAGATAAGAGTTTCGATCAACAAGAGATTAAGCAGATAGCATCTTAAGCTTATTGATCACACAGTGTAAACAAACGGACAAGCCAAATAGGTAGAGCTTTTAAGTTAGGGAGCCTCCCTCTTCGCCGCCCCCTGGGAATGAGACTGGAGGCTGAAAACTCTTTGTCATGCGTTCTGTAGTCGTTGTGACCTTTTTAACGATTATTTTACCCAAAAAAACCTTTAAGTAAAATTCATTATACGTAAAAGGGCGTCAGTCCTCTTCTTTCAGATAGTCATTGTTTCCCTTGTAATGTGTAAATAAAGGCCTTATTAGCCGGTGAATGGAGGAAGTCTATCCTTCCTGTATGGTTGTGCTGCACAAAGCGTAACGGCACATTATAGCTTTCTTTGGGGTATCAGACGTATGTTTTGGTGCACCGATCAGTTACGGTTTGAAACTCAGAGCGAATTGTTAATCTCGTTACAGTGTAACAGCCACCTTGGCTAGTATTGGTGCTGCGGGTGTACCGCAAGCAGGCCTTGTCACACTGGTTATTGTACTCAACGCAGTTGGTCTCCCGGCTGAAGACGTCACACTCATCATCGTCATTGATTGGTTCCTGTAAGTAGTCATTTGAATATCATATCCGAATTGGCCAGCCAAAGCTTTGGGGAAAACTACGGAGGCCGACGATTGCAGCCCACGCGTGTTTTTTATTGTGCAATGGCATACAATAAAACTGGATTTCAACCTATATCTTCACCAGTATTTTTTTATTGCAGAGATCGGATCCGTACCACTGTCAATGTAGCTGGTGATTCCATTGGAGCGGGCATCGTTCATTACCGGTCTCGTGAACGACTCGCTGCCATGGATCGACTCCACGGTAATGATAACAAGGACTTCCTAACCGATGCTGGCACGGAGTATCACCCAACGCTGAAAGAGTTCAATACCAAACTGTGAGGACTTGAACTGATGTATTAAAGGTTGCCTCCAACCATTTTGGCTACGGTTACCTTAACGCATGTGCTTATGCTAGCCATTGCCTAACGGCTGCAGCGACATTCCCACATACGTTTGTGTAGCTTCCAGCCGTAGCCAAGACTTTCTAATGCATCCTCTCAATCTCTCAAGACTGTGCTCCAGTAGAACACCTAAATGTGTTGTTCATGTTAGTTCCGTACAAATGTATTCATAACTTGTGGTCTTTGAAACCACGGGCTCTCAGGTTTGTTATAACACTTTGAATCACAAGGATAAAAATGGAGTCTTTACACAGAATTCTCATTTTGTGGGACTGCGTTTAATATTAGATGTTAAATACACAGATAATACGTAGATGTTGCTAGCTATGAGTTGGGTCACTGATTCGGATCTTTGACGCTACGTAAAAAGTAAATTTGATCATCAATGATATAACAGTAATTAGAATGTTGGCAATCGCTTGCTATTTGTGATTTCAGGAATTTAGTTTGTGGCGACAACTTGAGGCTTATAATGTATATGGGAAAAATATATGGTGCATGTTTTGACAACACTAATTGTTTAGATAAACTATTATTTTGGTATATCCTAATCTTGTATACTCGATTTTATGGCGACTATGTGTAGATTTCACTGTTGCTTTTTACATATGTCTCAAGTATTATTTACTTTATAAAATTTTGTATTTTTTAGATTACTGAAAACGTAATTAACTTCGAAGTTGAGGCGAAAACCAATTTTGCTGTCTCTTGACTTTAAAAGATTCTCCGTTGTAAGTGTTGGCGACACCCTCCATAAAAACGAAATGGTTTCTGGGCATCACTTTGTGTTCGTACATACATTGTTATCATCATTTATGCTTTCGCGCGTTAAGACATAAACTACGAGAGAGTTGACCTCTTTTCACTTACCATGCATGAAATAAGTTTTAATCAAACCACACTGAGTATCTTTTCCTTTTTATACGCAAGGTGAAGAGGGATGACGATGTATCTTGTATTTAAGTTTTGAACCATAAAACAATTAACGGATAAAGGGAAATTTCTGTATTTAATCAAAATGTAAATTATGAACCTTTATAATTAGTATAAGCTATAATTGATGGAATATTATATGTTCATATTTTAAGAGGCCATCTTGTCTAAAGAGAATCTCTTTCTACTTTTGTCTTTTTATGGTATCAAATAATCACCTGGGTTGCCTATTTCCCCAAAATTAGTATACGACTGCTTGTAAAAGGGAGTATATACCATATAACATGGCTAGACAGGTGTATAGAGATGAAATTATGACCTTTATTCAAGATCGGAAACGGTTCTTTTCCCTGTGTTCCATCGAGGATGTTGACCTATAATTTCAAGCACCCCAAAAGAAATAATTCATAAATCATAAGCTTCCTTATACTTTCACTTAATGTACTTTAGCCCTGATGGGTACATTTAATCCTCCTTGTTCCGAAAGACAAACTTGGCTTGGTGCTAACAAACAAACAAAGCAAAATTTGTGAGCAGCTCCAGAGTTTGGTTTGGGACGCAAATTAAGTCCATTTGGTTTCCTTCAAAAACTTCAAACAATATCCTCCATGACTAACTTCAACATAATTTAGGTCTTGACCTTACACATTGTAAACATCCACTCTAGGTCTGGTCAAATAGGTCTGGTTTACGAACAGGGGCAAAAAGGTTCTACTAAATCGTTACGTGTTACCCCCACGCACATCACAAGCCCGCCTTTGCCAAGACTGTGCGCACGTGCGCGCGCTGTGCAATGGACAGTGGCTAGCACTGTCCAATAATTACGCGTAAGGTGGGGCAGTGGGAGGGGTCTAAACGCCGCATGAGCACTATCTATCCATAGAAATCATGTGATATATGCATGTATTACCCGTACTGGAATTATAAACACCGCGCCACCTAGCGCCCTCTGTCGTGTCATAGTACATGTAAAAACTCTGTGCTTGCATATAGGAAGTGCGTCGGAGTTACAACGTTACGGGCATTCAGTGTACAAGCGAAATTAAAGCTATAATCAATACTTGGGTAGCCTTGGGCAAGGCTGTAGGTAGCCAGGTGTTTGATCATTACGGACTCTAGGCAATCGTTTAGCGAAGAGAAATACAAAAAAATTAAAAGAGGCACCCCATCATCAATTGAAACGAATCATATTGGTGGGGGCTGTTCATTTTGTTGGTAGCGATGCAACGTAAAGGGTGCATTTCATTGTTCGTGAACAAGCGTTTCAAACTAAAGGAGCCTCCATTGCTAAGAAAATCTCTCTCTCTCTCTCTCTCTCTCTCTCTCTCTCTCTCTCTCTCTCTCGGATCAGCTCGAAGCTCATATAGCGAAGACGCATTGGAAATTTGATCTCTCTCGAGTGGAGTGTTTTCTTCATAAAGCCCACATCCTGTACTACGTTCACCTTTGTACCGTCCCTAGAGTCCCCTCTGCCTTTCAACCTTACCCCCAACCCAGAGAATGATGTCTAAACAATCCCCTACTTGTGAGTGGAGATTTGAGTGCACAAAATTTGAGGCGAATTAGAGTATTCAAACGCTTTAATATTGAAACATCCTTTGTATTCAATGATGCTACCCAATGCCCAGGTCGAACTCACTTTGGGGTATAGGGTCCCCCACAAACTTACCCACCTTGCCATTAATTACCCAATCCTGGGGCATGGGGTGTTTCGTTTTTAAACAACGCCTTACTTGTGGTGGAGGATTTTATTGTACAGGTGCAGGCCTATGGAATTGTATTTTCAATCTTTTTTCCCACATTGTTTTCATGGAAGTCGTTATCATTGCAGAATTTCAAGCATTCGTCATGTTTTATAAGTTCTTGAGATTGTCATCAAATTTTGTTATTATAATTCTTCAGGTTTTGCACTCAAGGCTAGTCATAGTTCTGTCATCTGCCAACCATGATAATCAGATATGGTACTTGTGCACCCTTGTGACGTTGCTAAAGAAAGGTCTGTTATAAGTGACCTACATTCTACTGGTGTCATTGTTGGTTACAATTTGTCTTTATAATCGTCGACCTTGGCATGCCTGGCCATGATCTTACAGTGACGTATGTATGATTGATATGGTAATTCAATGGCACTGGTACTCATAAAAGAAGTTGTATGAGAGTACGTACTGGACAGTGATTTTCTTTTTCAACATGTGAATCTTACTGTCACGCAAAAACGATGACATGTAATTCCCTCGTTAGAAGTGATTGAGAGCGTGAATCGAGCAATGGTTGAGGGATCGAATCCTGGGTGTTCACGCTGGCGTGAAATTTTTTCCTTGTCCAAAAACATTCCCAACACTTTCCGTTAATGTTTGCCACCAAACATCGAGATGAATTGCAAGATGCTTCACTGTTATTTTCATGATATGTGGATCTTGAGAATGCCTAGAACATGGCACTAGATCTGAATTACGTCTTGTAATACTTTCTTATATTCAGTAGCTTTGCAAACTACTTCTTTCTTCTCGTGTAGTGTAAATTCTTCAGATATATTTACTATCAAAAGGCGCCACAGTACACGTTTTTGCGTTTATGGTTCAAACCAGCATTACGATCACTGAACTAGATCACACTGGATCAGGATCACGATCACTGCATCCGTCGTTGGTTCACAGATACCAAAACTCGCCTAATGGATAGGTGTAAACCAGCATTACGATCACTGATCTAGATCACATGGATCTGGATCACGATCAGTGATTCGTCGTTGGGTTACGGACACCAAACCAAAACTTGCCTAATGGATGGTGAAAACTAAACAGGCCCTAGATTGCTCTCTGGGGTTGTCGTGAGTACTTGAAACGTCGCATACGGGGTCGGTGATAGTACTACCCAGTGGCTGTTTGCCGTGGGCCCCTGTTGCCGTGCGTGAGACCCGACGATCCCTTTCAACGGTCGGAAATGCACCAAGACCGCCTTGGACAAGGCTACTCCTGATGAGGCAAAAGCCGATGGATCTACTCTTCGTAATATCAGCAAGCATTGCAATGCCATGAAGGTCAAAAAATACACAAAAGTGGTGTAGTGAATACTTTTTGACACGCAAACCTAGTCAGTTCTATCCACGCAGTGACTGGCATAGCCAGTGGGGGGGTAGGCCTACATACTCCTCTCTTTGAAAACCCCTTTGCTCTGAATTACTGATCCCTCAGCGCTGTAATTTCAAGGATTTCCAGCTTATTGGATTAATCTAATCCTTCAACGGATTTTTGTTTATTTTTTACTGATACCGAACTGTACACCACTGGCATAAAAGGATTTAACAGACTCTTTTATGGACTTTCCAAAGCGTACTGGCAACAGCTGGTGAAGTAACCTAGATTTCAAGGATGGCCAAACAATGAAAGCTTTCACATGCCATCTCAGGGATAACAAATCCCACTCATTGAGTTGAAAATGCCCTGAAAATATTGATTAATGGTAAATTCAGGGAAAGTTGGTACATTCATAATTTATTAAGGGATCAAAATGCTTATATTGACGTGACTATCCAACCACTCCTACTTGTAATTGTCCCAACTAGAGTGAAAAACCGTGTTTTTTTTTCATTCACATTGCAAGACGGTGGAATTGAATGTGACCATTCTTACCATAGCCGAGTGAAAACACTTCATCATTGGCATTTTCATCTTTTCTAAATAGATAAATAAATATGGCCACAGATCACCAAACGACTAGATACCCATTTGGGCCACTACTTAACCGTCCTAACCATTCTATGTTTGACATGATCTTACAGGGCATATAGAATAACTTGGCACCGTAAAGATACTGTTCGCTTCAACAGAGAAGACCTTTGGATCAAATGCCCTCTGCACCATACAATGCCATGGCCTGAATTAAACTACCAGTTAATTAACACTCCTTTCTTTCCCTCTTTTTGTCTGCAGATTATACCCCCTCCAGTTAGTTCCATTGTATTTTTTCTTCAATCTCTTCCCATCTTACATTCCTTTGTTATTTAACCATGCCTCCATGCAGTCCCCTTTACCCCTTGCCCCTTTATCCAGCCTGCAGCTTTGTTGACCTTTCCTTTTTGTCCTCCTGCATTCGTCCATGCGTGGTTGATTTCTTGTTTGCTTCTTTGCCACATGTCATTTTGCCTTTGAGAAAGATTCTGCTAGGATCGAAACGTCAGGCCCTCCATATTTTGTGATAAATATTCATTCCGATAGATACTTATTGAACAACACCCTGTGTGATCTATATTAGATTTCTGCATAGCCTACTTGAATAGCTTTTCAACCGCGGTGCAAAATAACCAAATTACGATTGAAGTTAGTCACAATCGTAAATTACATTAGCTCTGAAAGCAGTTTCGTTCTTTCGAGAAATCAATATAACGTTTGAACTTCATCAATTGTGTTGTTATTGGTCTGCAATATCAACATTACAAATGGAAAGGCTGTCAATAACAGTTGCTTATTCTTCGGAGATCCTGAAAGACAAGTACATTTGTGCAAGGCTCTCCCGTAAGCGGTCACTGATTAATGTTTAACCCTTATGCTTCAGCTGATAGTCTTAATCAAAGCTGATTACGGGCTATAAACAAGTTCAGAAGGTAGTTGGATCGATGAGGGCTTAAATAAAACACCAGGCAGTTGCAGCGATATCTGAAGAGCACCATCAACATTGACTGCTCACAAACCACTGAGCAAAAAAATAATTGTGGATTGACCATATCTTATTCACGAAAAGCCGTTTTTGATCATCTTCCCTGAATTTAATCTATGCAATGCAATTTTGTTAAATGGGATGGTGCCAGACTACGGGGGGTTCTATGCCTCATCTCGTTTTTAAATGTTGTTTAATTTATACTGTTAGATATAAATTATTCAGTATAATTAACTGTTACTTCTTTATTCTCAATTTTATTCCTAAATTCTTAATATAAAAAGCTAACCTCACTTTCAGTTCAGTATGGCCGACCTGTGAATGAGGTTATTTGGACATTAACGGTTAAGCGTTCCCGATGTTTATAATGCATATACTGCTATCCCAATACAACTTACGTCATTGTTGCTACCATGTGGAATTCAGGCGCTAAATTCCAAATCTTTGATCGTTACTTTCCAGCGGTTTGGTGGAATGTTGTTCCTAAGTTCTCAGATTTGTTCAAGATTGGACGCAAATTGAACGAGCATTGGCTGTTAGATGTAATGGTGATCATGTCAAATGTTGCAGACTTCCAAAGGCCTCCTGCAGCATTATTTCTTGCGAGTGGTGCATACCGGACGCCTTAGTTTTTTTAAACGAACGGACCAGCTTGATGGTCTTTTAACCAGCTCGGCACTATTTTACGTTAGGAAATTTGCCCATACTATTTTGAGTCAACCTTTTTCTAGCACTATATCATCAGAATGGTTCTTTCAACAGTTTGTTGGCGTATATTACATTTGACTTCGTTAATGCACATGTTGAAAAAAGATGAAATCGAATAGAGTTTCTGATGACAGGCAACAAAATTATATGACGTCATCAAACCGGAAATCCGTATTGCACGATCACCAATGTTTTGTTACTATCTCAAACACTTCCCCATAGTTATTCATAATTACCGGTAGTTCTCGGTTTTTGCTTATCGGAAATATGTAGGAATGCGTTAGTAACTGTTAGACGTAGCCACAGCTCTTGAAGCTCGTTTTAGACACGGTCGAGAGCCCATGACGTACGTACATGTACGTGAGACGGTGTAACAATGGTTATATCTGACTGGGGAAATATGTGACCCGTTCCGTGAAAATTGCGTCAAAAACCATTTTTTTCCCAGAAATTTTGTTTATGTTTGCTTTAGAAAGAACAAGCTAATTAGCTTTTTGATGCATCACTTATTTGGTACTCAAATAAAAATAGACATTGGTGTAGGTGCACATATTGAGCGATACTGATTTTCATAGCTACAAAACTCTTTACAAGGCCCGAAATTCGAAAGAGGGTCTGACGACTTGTGAATTACTTTCACAGAAAAGGTCACCTATTAAATGTAGACTCCTATGAAATGTTGGCCCCTTTCCCTTATATTTATTGAAAGTTTAAAAGCTTCATTTGCGCAGTACTTCCAGTGAGTCTTCATTTTGAGAATCCAAAATCCACACTAGGCTGGTTCATTGAGTTCTGCGCCACCTCAAGCAGTACGCTCCACTCTTGCGCAAAAACCCGTGTAAGGAGATTGTTCACAACTACTTTTGAAAGGTAGCATGCATGGCTGGAGGGCTGTTTGACCGAATTTTTTTAAAGTATTGTTTGAGAAAACTGTTGGAAATTCATACGTGTATTTTCTTTCACTTGTTATGACCTTATGACGCAAAGGGTATCTGTGAATGAGGCTGAATTTGAGTTGACTCAGGAGAATAGACGTTGATTAATGGCCCGAATCGAAGGCCACGCGTGTCGTTTCTTTAAAAAAAGACCACTGATTCGATGCACCAACCCTCAGATCTGTGTTGGCTTCACTGGCAGCAAGATCGGCAGACATTTCCTTGCCTTACGATTTTCCGCCATTAATATCTTGGACTATATTACGTCATCACTGTGGTAAACAACGTTTAGCAGTAGTACACATAAATAGGTGAGCTATGGTGATGTTCCATTTATTCATTATTTTCACATTTGTCAAGAACCCAGGTGGTTCCTTTGCTTTCTTTGTTCCCTGTAAATAATTCCTCATTTATATATCGCTTCACAAAAATACTGCCCAGTTTATCTTACTATTTCTAGATGAACGCCTGTCACTGTTTAGTTTGTATCTATTGGAAATGTGTACGTCAGAAATCCCATTCCCTTTTGGTAAATTTGGCTACAGAGATCTTATCCTTTTTGGAGGTTTGCTGCAAAAAAATTCAAATTGTAATAATATAATTCAACGTATCAGCACCCATCATATTGGTGACCCTCACGTTTGAACAAGCGTTACCACTAATGTCTAAACAAGTTCGTCATTCGTTGCTGAATTTTGGACTTATTCATTTAATTACAGGGCAGCTTACTTTCCGGTCATTGCTTTTGTTACAAAGGGATGCTCACGAGTAAATCTTTTCAGCAAAACTCCCAGAGCAAAACCATTGACCTTAAAGATTACAGCCGTGCAAACCCTATACCTGCACACCTTACTTTAAGTAGTTTGAGTATTGATGTCATTATTCAACGTGCTGCCACAGTTGACGATCTTGAGCCGTATTCGTTGACAAAATTGAGTTGTTATGGTGAATGTAATTTTACTCTTAAAAACCTAGCTATCGGTATTAACGACCTTACACACTCTGCACACGTTGGCCACTCTCGTATGAAGGTTTTACAGAAATCCGGCCTTTCTTTGGATGGTTTATTTTCAAAATCTTTGTCTTGTAGGCCAACTACAGTAGTTTGAATTGTTACCATTCCCTTGGTAACTTGTACCAAGTTTCAGGCCAGTATGCATCTATCTTCACACACTGTACATGCTGAAGTGTTGAGCAGTAAAAAGCAGCTCAATTCTTTACCAGTTCGAGCTAACACTCGTTTAAGAGAATTCAACAACGAATTACTGTCAGGAATTAGCACACCTATACTTTCGTGGTGTATTTCTGTCAGAAGGCTAAGCAAGCCGTAAAGTAGTCACTTCACTTTTGATACAAACTACGGATTTTTTTTCAAAATGAAGTTACTCCGTTTCATCGAAGGCCCTCCCAACAAACAGTTGCTTTATAAGAAGTTGGTCTCCAAACTCTTGCATGTTCTTTGCCCTTAATTATTCTCGTCACCGTGCTGAACATCCAAATTATAATTGCAATGTATCGACCTAAGTATCTCTTTGATTGTATTGAATTGAATTAATCAGACCAACGATACATCGTTACGTAATCATTTCTTTCTACGGTCGATCTGTCTGCACTCTGCATCGATCCATCTTAAGAAGAGGCGGAACCAGGCATTATTTCGATCCGTTGAGGTGAATACTTACGAAATCCCACCGCTCCAATAAAGTATACAATTTCAATAATTGAATTCTTTTCGAATTCGTTTTTAAGAGTTTTTCTAAGTTCATTTTCACGAGAAGTATACATTTACGAAATTTTTATTTTGTACGATATCTATTGTAGGAGGGTTTCTGTTTTGGAAAAAAGGACACAATTTCCTAAATTTGCTTTAGGAAGGCTTTCATGTTTGTTTTAATTAGATATTTTTTTTAAAAAGAAAAGTACATTTTCCAGATTTTTTGTTCAGGGAAAGATTGAAATTGTATTTTTATTTGCTTGTAGTATTAGTGTTAGGTGAGATTGCGCAGAAAAATCATTTGGGTCCAGCCACTTTGGTTTTTTTCCTGTGGCACTTTCTTTCGTCGAGGGGTCTTTCGATAAGAAAAGAGTATAGGCCATACAAGACGTAATGATGGAATTAAAAATTCGATGTACTGAATTAACTCTTCTTTGGGGATATGTTCATTAGTTTTTCTTCTCCCGAAAAATGTGCATGTATAGAAATCTGTCTGCAATGATTCGATCTAAAAAATAAAATTATGCATTGGTGTTATTCCCCGCAAGAAAATGGTTTGATTAACAGTGGGTTTTCTGTGTAAATCCCACCCGACACCAATAAACAAGCAATTAAGATAAAAAGCTACCACAAGCTTGTAGCCATTCACTGAGCCCATGTTGGGAGGATTACTTACATGGCCTTTGTTGGCACTAAGAATTGAGGTATACAATTCAATAGCTTTCCTTTTTGGCACTTTAATTGCTCAACGACATGGGATACGTTTACAGTATTATTGGCCCGTCCTGTCAATCCGAATCGCCGACAATAATAGTATGGTTTATCTAAAATGAATGAGATACTGGGAATTACTCGAGTAAAACAAGATGTAAGCAGAGTCGTTCACGGATTACTTTCTACGGTGCACTATAAATGACACACTGGATTTTCTTATTTCATATACGAGACGTAACTGTAGAGGGTGACGGGCTGTCGCGTCGTCCTACAGTTTTTTCCTCTTACGTATGTTCTCTATTATTCTGGAGTTGCTTCATGCGCTGCGTCGTGCCATCGCTCACAATGCTGCTATTTTATTTTGTGTTTAAGCGCAAAGGTCTTGTCCCTGTTAACCCGTACCAACCCACCCTGTTCACTGCTAAGAAAGTTAGCGAAACTTTTTTCGTTCAAAATTCATATACGGTTATCTGAAAAATATTGGTCCCAAGAAGACTTTAATACAAAGATGGTACAATCAATGTAGTCACTGGTCTTTCCAATTGTAAACTGGTCTTTACGGATGCCGTCAAATTTCGATTTAATTTATCTGGCCTGATAATCATGTACATATCGTAAGGATTTAATCGATTTCAAAAATCAACTGTTTGTGAAAGACCAACATGTATTCACTTGTTTCTTTGCTGAAATGAAAAGTTTACACTTTCTTTGGTCTATACACGGACCAAATTTCCCCAAGTTGTTGACGCATACAACGGTTGAAGAATTAAATAGACACACAAATAATATGGAGGAGATATAATTTTGCTGATGCAAGGTCATAGACCTAAGTTAAACAAGGAAGATCTAAACAGACATACATAAACTTTTTAATTGATTTGGAAATTAGACAACAGTTCAGCGACAGATGGAAAACCACGTGTCCGAGATGAAGGATACCGATGCTACTATAGTAGACCTGGCAGACACCCAAGCAATGTCTGACACCTCCTCTGAAAGGCGTCGTACCTCCTGGCGTACCTGCTGTGTTGGTTTTCTCCGCCGTAATCTCCTAGTCGTTCTTCTTCTGCTTTCTCTTCTTCTCGGCCTTGGAGTGGGTTTCTTCATCAAGCTGGGTACGGATCTAACTTTTACGTCCAAGGATATTTCCTACATTTCCTTCCCTGGTACGCTGTTCCTCAACATGCTGGAGATGGTCATCATCCCTTTGGTGGTTTCAAGTCTGGTGTCAGGCATGGCGTCTCTTGACAAACGCTTGTCTGGAATTCTCGGCCTTAAGGTAAGTTTCCTGACTGCTCCATAAAACAATGTTTCATTAACACCGAGTGAATTTTACACCGACCAAACTGACGTATTCACTCCACTTTATGGCACTAAGTGGTGGTAAATTTAAAACCCTAAAGTTTGCAGTTCAAGAACCTCGACTTTCCAGACCTAAGGGACAAATGTTATGCTGTGATCAAAATAATTTACATGAACTGGGGATTCAGTCATGTACGCATGCGTTATTTCACTTACTTAACTCAGTTCGTAGGTAATATTTTGACAAAATTGTTTGGATTACGAAGTTATATTTTTTTATAAAATATCTGCAAATACGGCAATAAATCTAGGTTTATTACAAATGGAAATCTTTATTAGATATAAATTTACAAGTTTCTTTTTATTAATAACTGGTACAGCAGACAGACAGACAGACTGAACAAAACATTGCAGACCTTTTCTGAAAAGATCTTTGACATACTGAATACTATTCTTCATTCTGCAGGCTTTGGTGTACTACGTCTGTACAACAGTCATAGCTGTAACCCTTGGCATTGTCATGGTGATGTTGATACAACCAGGCAATCGACAAGAATCGACGAACATCGATCGATCTGGTAACACGGAGTATGTCAACACAGTGGACTCTATACTGGATCTGCTAAGGTAAACTAAAGCCCCATTGAGCAGGAACATAAAATCATTCAACACTGTTAACGAGATTCAATATCAAAATATATTGTATACCTTTAGTACGACTTTCTTTTCCTAAGTCTATCATCGCGATCGAGCATCTAGGAAATTGCATTATTGAATAGCACGAAGGGTAAATTTGCCCCTTTGCAGCGTGTTAAAGTCCGCAGTGACGTCATGCAGACCGCGAGAAAAATGCTCAGGTTCTGCTAACGAGCAGTGGGCAAGCTACGGCTGGCCATCATTACAAAAGCCAAAGAGTGATAATATTTAACCGGGAGGAGGTAAGGCCAGAGATTTTTACGGACTAAACGTTATCTCCTTTCACCTTTTGTTTTCAGAAACATGTTCCCGCCAAATGTTGTGGAGGCCTGCTTCCGTTCAGTGAGTAATACCAAAGGTTATCTGAGAATTGGGGGCCCGTCAGCTTCGTGCACACTACCTCCTCACTTGTGATAAAATGTAGAGACTAAGACGACAATCAAGCACCATGAGCATCGCCCTCCTAGTCCCTTATTTGTCCTTCCAGGGTTATAAAAACATTCACATTTTCCCATTAGTATCATCCTTTTTCCTGCATTCGAGTAACATTTCGTTGACTTTAAATTTTTGAGTTTCGCGTCAGTGGGATAAGTGTGTCAACAGTTTCCGAAACAAGCAGTATCAAGCTAAAAATCATTCCAAAATGAATAATGAAGTAACAGATAACTGTTCTTTGTTTGTGTTCAGTACAAGACCGTGCAGACGCCAGTGATAATGGTACAGAATCAATCGGAGATGATAGGTGTGACCATGACGACCGAAGAGGGCGTTACTATGGGTACCACACCCGAGCCTGAGATCATGCTGGTGTCCACAGGCGGGTACCAGTACCGAAGCAACCTGCTTGGCCTGGTAGTGTTCTCCTTTGCCTTGGGTATTACGCTGGGTCGTATGGGGCCGGAAGGAGAACCGCTCAGAGCCTTTGCCAACTCGATGATGGAGGTCATTATGTGGCTGGTTCGCTACATTATTTGGTAAGTACACAAGCCTGCCTTATTACAACCGTTAACAAGAGAGTTAGATCTTTCTTAATTACATGGCGATATCCGGCTGATTAGGAAATGTGTGATTGTGGATACAGCTGCCTATCCAACTACCACTTTCCATGGACAAGTGTCCTTCCAAGTCCCAGCCAGTCAATTCTGACATGATCCTTTAGTCATTCCTCGTCTATTGAACAGACTCCTAATTTCTATTGAAACTTAGACAGTATCATCTATTATCAAATGTGTATGGATATTGAAGTTACATCTTTCGATGAATTAGAAGGGCCATATGTTATAGTCACTATAAGAAAGAGGGTATTTTCAGGTTATAGACCACTGGGCGCAGGAGCTTTAAAACCTTCTAAACTTGCTTGCAAGAATGGTAAGCAGTGAAGAGATTCCTGGAGGAGTTTTCAACTTGTTAAAACTTCCCATATGCTGTGTGCAACTATGGCATCATAATAGGGACTTTAAAACCCGACCTTTCATTTCACCTAGAGGGAAAGGGGAATTCTGCGTGTCAATCACATTCCTCAAAATTATATGTATATTGACAAAATGCATGTTTCCCTGATTGATCATTCTGACAGGATTTCTCCTATTGGAATCTTCTTCCTCATCATTGGCAAGATTCTAGACATGAAGGATTGGATGACCGTCTTCAGTCAGATTGGCCTGTACTCGGCAACCGTCATCTCTAGTCTTCTCATCCACGGACTCATTATTTTACCTCTCATCTTTGTCATCTTCACTCGTAAGAATCCCTTCGTCTTCATCAAGGGTGTGACGCCAGCGCTGATGACTGCCTTCGCCACTGCTTCAAGGTGGGAAAAATTATCTTCGTATGCATTCACGAACATCTTTTCTGTTTGCGAGTAAGAAATATACGTTACGTTTTGCTTCTGCTGATATGCAAAATGGTTGAGGGAACTTGTTGCAAGACTTGTAGCGTCTGACGTAAAAGTTCTCCAAGAATGACTGAGTTTAGTCTTGTTTAGTCTAAATTTGGTGTCATCAGGTCTATAAAGGTATTATGTCTGATCAAGATATGGTCGGATTCCTCTGTTCCGGTTCAATTAATTAATGGCAAGATGTTTTTCCAGTTCTGCTACCCTACCGTTGACCATCGACTGTCTTGAGCAGAGCAATGGCATTGACAAGCGCGTCACCCGTTTTATGCTACCAGTCGGTACGACACTAATCAGGGATGGTACCGCCCTCTACGAAGCAGTGGCCGCCATCTTTATTGCTCAAGTCAATAATTTAGAAATGGACGTGGCAACTGTTTTAACCGTCAGGTAAATTGGGATGAATGGTGTAAGTAGATACAAAACATGAACTACTTTGTACACTATCAGAAAATAACTACTTTTTTACGGTGTGATATATTTCTATATATATCGTAAAAAATTGTGGACTGGAATAGTCGCCATGTTGAAAATGTGATAAGTATATTTACTTCAGGACAAGAAGCGTAACGGCACATCAAAACGTAGTAAAGAATTTTTTCAAGAATTCTGTTTATTTGAATGTTCCCCAAACCGTTGGGAATCTAAAAATGGAGCAGAGTATAGGCTGTGAGCGGGAAGCCAGACAAAATACGTTCTCCATTATCATTTCCAAAGGAACACTTATCCAGCGTACATAAAAGGTCTCTTTATTACTTGTACGGTAGTCCATGTTGGCTCACAATATAACGGCGAGTTGTGGCGTTCTTGTGGAGAATACTCGATACGTATTTCGATTCCAAATTACATGTTTTGGTGTTTGAAGATCACCAAAGGTTTCTAAGTCTGCATAATATTGTTATTCTGGTTACAGTGTAACAGCCACCTTGGCTAGTATTGGTGCTGCGGGTGTACCGCAAGCAGGCCTCGTCACACTGGTTATTGTACTCAACGCAGTTGGTCTCCCAGCCGAAGACGTCACACTCATCATCATCATTGATTGGTTCCTGTAAGTGCTCATTTGAGTATCTTGTCACTGTTGGCCAGTTGATGTTGCAGGGAAACCATGGAGAAAATGTCACACCGGGTGGGCAAAGGTGGACAAAACAGTTTCAGAATGTGAAATAGGAATTGAATGTGCGTGTGTTTGCCTAGTTTGTAATACATGAAAACCTTTAACATCCACGGGAAAAAGTCCCCATATTAAGTCAGACACGGATTTTAAGTGGCGTTTGCTTGAAGCATAAAGCACATAGCATCTTTGAGTTTCATGGTGCAAACAACATACGTTGTAAAACTTAATTTCAGTTCATAATTTCACCAGAAAATTTTGTTTTTAAATGTAGTGAGCGGATCCGTACAACTGTGAACGTAGCTAGCCATTCCCTCGGTGCAGGTATCGTTCATCACCGGTCTCGTGAGCGACTCGCTACCATAGATCGACTCCACGGTAATGATAACATGGCATTCCCAACCAATCCTGCCATGGGGTATCAACCAACATTGACAGAGTTCAATACCAAACTGTGAAGACATCTTGGATTGATGTAATGAAGGCTGCGTCCAAAGACTGTGGCTACGGCTGACAACTACACATATGCTTATGCTAGCCAATGACTAGCACCTGCAGCGACTCCCCACATACGTTTGTGTAACTGCCTGCCGTAGCCAATTCCTTCTAACACATTCTATCTCCCTCAAGTACACACTGATAGAAACCATTTGGTCTTTGATACCACAGGCTCTCAAGTTTTTTTAAATATTTTGCATCACAAGGATAAAAATGTAGTCTTAACATTCCGCACTCAATTTTGGAATTGCATCTTATACCGGCTGTTAAACACAAGAAACAAGTGTCACGTAGATGGATGTTAGCAGGTATCAATGGGCTCACAAGACACTGGCTACAAGGTACATATTCAATCATCAATCAAATAATGGTTATACGGATAGGATAGTAAAAATGATTTGCTCTTAATGATATAATCATAATCGCATTGAGCATATTTTAATTTAAACACTATGTGAACATATAAGAATATGTATTTTGTACTTGAGTACTTCCCGGATAACGACAGAGGAAATTTCTGGATTTAAATTGAACTGTAAAAAATCAAGCTGAAAAAAATATGATTAATGGAATATAAGTATTTTATTGTGATATTTGAAGAAGGCGTCTTGTCTTTAGAGAATATATTCCTATTAAATAGTGCCCATTTTATAATGTGTAAATATCGACTTGTGTTTGTTGATAAAGTCACGTGAGCTGTGACGTCAGTATATAAAGAAAGGGAAGACTGAGAAACTACTGTTGCTGTAAATAGTTTTTCTGGAATTAACGTAATAATTGCTATGTTGTCATTTATATCATATAAACACAATCCATGTAAACATTTGCATTCCAAACTTGATCCCTCAGGATCTTTATTGGTACATTTTGTGGGAAGGATTCAGTTCCCCTTCGTTACTGACATTTACTTCACTTTCATCTCTTGGCGGTATCTTCTGCAAAGAGGAACATAAACTAAGAACTCTCTGCAATTAAACATCTTTAAGACTCGTTCTAAGTAATAATACACTGACAGCAATGAAGATTCCAGGGTGATTGACATGTTGTGGATGTTGCCTGAGATCGTGATTTTAATGATGGCAATTGTCATAACCTATCTCGGGGTTCGGTAGGAAAGTTTTCATTGGAATGAGTCCAAGGCGACTCCACGGTGCTTAAGAAGGTTTCATTAAATGTATTCTAGTCAAATGGTTAGTGGTTCCTGAGTGCTTGCAAAACTAGGTCTGAGAATAGACGCCAGTGCTTCAAGTAGAACCTGTCCCAAAATAGCAAGATTCTGTTGCTATCACTGGTCGTTTATTTCTGTTGCATATAACTTTTACATCTGTATTTACAATTAGGCAAAGACTCCGCTACAGTGAGATCATTTAAACATTGGATGTTCGCAAAAAAGTAAATTCAAAGTTAAAGTGCGCAATAAGACATAACTTTACCCTGACCATATCGAGCAGTGGGCCGTAGGTTTGTTTCACTGCACTGCTTACTTCTAACAACAGAATGAATGACGGGTTAGCCAAAATGTACACTTTTCCACTGCAGTGCTCGCATGCAGCCTTGAAACGTGTGATCGAGTTCAAATTTGCATTTGTAACAATAAGGAGTAGGCCTACACATGCCAAGTTTTAAAAAAAAATCGAGGGAGGCATAGCTGCGTTCTTATGGGGTAGGACCCCCCAGCTTTGAGATGGGCCAAAAAAGAAAAAAAACGGCTCTTTTAGGCTTAATTTTAATATGACAGTTGAATATGTCTTGTTCAATGGGGAAGATAGTATTACACAAAGTATTTTAGTTTTATACTTACGTTCTGACTAAAACTCAGACCAGTGTTTGTTGGCATAATCGCGAATCTAGCATTTGAAAAGATCAAATCCTTTCATTTCATTTTTAAATCATTATATAAGGCGCCTCAAACATACCGTTTGATGTTAAAACTTGGCACAGATTTGATTCTTGATTTGTTAAAAATTATATCTTATTTGTGGCTACTTTCTTTAACAAGGATTAAGGATGACTAGTGAATCCTGAGCTGAACCAAGAGAGGGCGCAATTTTACCTGCAAAGGAAATTCCTTCGGTGGGGACTGCGCTTCGCTGCTTCACATACAACTATGAAATGCATGCGTCACGGTCGCGTCGCCACAAACAAAATGAAAAGTTCCTACCAACATGTCTCTTTTCAACCGATGAAAGGGTACATCTGCTCAAGGCATGACACTTACCTCGCCTTTTGGTCCCCATAATGTAATCTGATTCCTTGCATTATACTCAAGCCACTTCTTTTCCCAGGAAAGGTGAAACGCAAAATCACCAAGTGTTCAAATTCAAATATTTTGGAGCTAGATATGTGGTGCATAATTTTTGCCTGATGGTGTGATGATGACAACGATGAAATTAAATTCAAAAGTAAAAGACCTTAACTGTCAACCTCTACGATTACATGGCGATTAGATTTTGATGACGGTTTAACAACGTCTTTCATTTCCTGGCGGCAGAAGCGGGCAATTCCCCCTCCACTTTTTTGTTGGGGGCCATGGTCCCCACTTTTTGCAGGTCCTGTAATGGGGCGAAACTAGGTGATTGGCTAGCTGTTAATTAGTGATGTCAAATGGTTTCACAGCTGCCCCCCCCCACTCGTTCTGCCACCAATGTTTTCATCTATCACAAAAAACCACCCCTTTCGCACTTATTCGGAAATAATATATGGTCTTACTCCAGGGGTTGTGCCCAAAGCCTTTGCTGCCTCTAACCAGTTGCCTAGCAAGCATCGAGAATCGGTAGACAACAGACAGTCGAGTTTGAACATCAGATCCATCAGCTTTACAAAGTTGTATTGATATCAATTACGAAAAAAATAGATACTGAAGTACTTTCCTCTGTGTAGGTTGTCTCGATCTGTTTCTAATAATATGCATGTTTTTAAAAATCGGCCTTAGCCGAATATTTAGGATACAACCTAAAAAGGCATCGTGTCTTCTTGGCATTTGAAGGAGATGCCCCATGCGAGTCTAAATGGCCAAGTGTTTAAGTGATTATAAAATGCGTGTGTGGAAGTTTTAAATCATCTCAAGGTGGTAGACTAGTCAGATTAGAAGCTGTGTGGCACCGATCTAACACGCACATTATTCAGTATGACGCGCGCGTGCATTTGGCAAATCACGAGACCCTATCGGTCGATGAGGCATGTAACGCGCGCGTACCACCTGTCCACGAGCGCTGGGCCACCGCAGTAATGGCTTCTAATTTTAGTTGTCAAATTACACTATAGGGAGTCTTTACGTGCTGGTTCGTTGGTGGCCATGTATGTGATACTCGCTGCTTGTATTCGATCAGCATAGATGCAAATTTCCACGCCTTGTCTTCTTTGTTGTCGGTCTGTCTAATTGTATGAATATCTCCCATCTGATTCTGTCATAAAAAACATATCGATTAAACTTACGAGACTGCTGACAGGTTCTTCTTGGTGTAAGCGGCTGAGAAATTCAGATAGATGTGATACGATATATCCCATAGAACTTGACGAGTAACATCAACAAGGTCGTATCTGCTTGAAAAAAGGGATTGGATTTGTTACCTTTAAATTCTAATTGAAGTCTGTCTCATAATTTAGTAATATTTAATTAAGTTCTTATAGTAGATAGTTTGGTCCGAATTGTACTTTTATTCTAACACCATCAAATTATTTCTGTTGACGATTTATGTTTGTATAGCACCTTTATTGTGTTTAATAAACTGATATAAAAAGTTTAAGTTGTACATTTCTATTAAAAATTGATTTCCGGCAGGACAGGTATCATTTAGAATTTGCAATTTCCTGACCTGTTGTTGCATCTCTTACCTGTACATTCCACTGTTCTCAATGCTGGGATTTGATTTCGTAGCTTCCAACATCAGTTTCCAAGCCTCAGCGACTTTGGTCCAGTCATACTAAATCTATTAATCAGTATGGTGTTTCTTAGACATTTTTATGATTTTGTGTAGTGAGGCAGGTGTTGATGATTAAACAGTGTAAGGTCTAATGTCATTAGAACAAAATCGTGACGCTGTTGTTGATTTGATTAGTCTGAATGCGAAAGGCAACTGGATAATTCCATAAGCATTATTATTCCTGATCAGATCGCTTACATTTGGCTTTATTTCTGTGGGATGAGGTGAACGAACAATCGGTCCATGCTTTGCGTTACCATGATTGCCTTTGCGGTTGTAGATCGTGTCTTGAAGGATATTCCAAGCATGGAGAAGTTTTGGCGATGATCGACTTGGACCGTAACGAGTAATGCTGTAGTTGGCTATCCTGTACCGTTGGAGACACATCTTGGAAGTATTAATCCACATTAGCTGTTGGTTGACATTTTTTATTGGCAGGGCCTTCCCTACCCCTACCCCCCCACACACAATTAATTTTATTGCAACACTTTTATAGAATACACCAAACTGGTCCATCATTTTTAAATGTCTCCGAGCACCATGAGTGTCCATTCGTGTAAAGCTGCCACTCAAACGGCCAGGTCTTGCAACCTGCCTCCGCTTGTCTAATTCTCTGCCTCAGTGACTGTTTACAGCCAATCCTGCATCCGTTTCCCTCATTTTTTCAATAGAATTGAATTAATTTCTTGATTTCCCTAGACTCACCACTGTGGGATAGATCCAACTTTCTGAGACCTCCATGCCAAGTCGTTCATGAACGTTTAATATGACGTCATTCTGATTAATTCCTTCCATCGTCAACCCCGTGCCTACGATGGTTGTACCTGGATATTTCCTCACGGCAAATAATCCCTAAATAAAGCAAGAAAATATTCTGAAAAGCACCACTGCAGATAATTTTCTTCACTTCCATTAAAAATTAATGGCTTTGTAGAGATTTTCAAGGCAGATCCACAAAAAGCAAACTCAAGAATTTTAAACTAACCTCATTCACAGTGTGAAGTTTTCCATACAGACCGTGGTTCCCTCCAAAGTTTCCCAGCATGCATCAGATAAAAGGCTGCCCGTAGAAAGAGTGCAAGCGACTGTATTGAGGATTCTCTGCACTCGCTAAGTCAAGAGCAATCATTTTCCCCTGGAGGATCAATTCAACAATTTATGAGAAAAGTATGAAATCGTGGTAAAATGATTTTCTTTATACACGTATTTGGAGAGAGAAGCCATTTTCACAAAATACATCTGGGTTTTTAGTAAGAAGAGATAGACCAATTAGAAGGAAGCATTTTGTTACGTATTTCCCAACCTTAGGAACACCTTGAAGGTAGGCCTTCGCACGGTCTGGAGTCCAAAATCCACTTAGGAACAACCAACCTTGCATCAGCCAGAGTTCCTTGGAATCTGCTGTAACTATAGCTTCATACACTGCCTTGCTGGCACGGGCAAGGTACGTTGTATGTCTGTGCATATCCATCAAAATGTGAATTATATTCATGAGAACCAATATTTGAAAAGAAACCCCCAAGAGACGTATTTTGGCGTATTTAGCTTAAAGCCGAAGATCTTCCCGAAGCTGGCATTAACGTGCACCACTGGGACCTTTAGACTGTGGCTACAACCTGTTCCTATATAAACGTGGCCTGTTGGCCGTAGCTACGACTTCCAAAATCAGTTTAGACATTGATTTCATGGTGTTCCTAAATATATTTAGTATCAAGGGAATTTTCGTGAGGATAACTGAAAGGACCCTTGGTCAATTGGGGTGATATGAATAAATGTAATGTTCTTAATTCCTGTTTTCATTCCTGCATTAAGTGCTTGCAAATCAGCGAAGGACGTACTTGATATACACATTTTTTCCAAAGAGTAAGTGCCAGTTGATTTCAGGTCTTAATTGACACTAACCCTGTCTTTGGAGACATTTCGTTAAAGGTATCGCCATTGTAGATATGATCTGTCCCATTGAATTCTTCCACCATCTGAACAATGAACAGATTATATAATAGAAATGTTTTCATATTGAACGTTTTTCTTTTATATTTAAGACTCAAACGAGCAAAAGGAAGTCAATGTAATGCCGATTAAACATGCATAAAAGGTTATAAACAGAAAGGGATAACAAACAAACAGCGAACAGAAAAAGACATTTTAAAGCAATTACTAAATAAAGATAGTATAAAACAAAAATTGATTTCATGTATCTTACGGCCTCTATGACTGCTTTCCCGATGGTTTTGAACAATGGATCCACCGGATCTAGCAAAAAATCACTGGAAAAAAAAGACAAAAACGTGTACACCCTCCAGTGCAGAAGTTCAAACCAATTCACCAAAATAATATATGTTCCAGGTCTGAAGAGATAGGTTAAGATGAAGTCCTAAAAGTTTGATGTAATTGTCATCTCTTACCTTCTTAAATTGGTTTGAAACAACATTATATGGGTGTAAGCATGTAAATGTAATGGTGAATGAGGAACCGTCACGGTGGTAATTTCGTTCATTCTTCATTTTCCTCACGCACATGGTACAAACAAATGCTCTAGTCTTTCGATCCAATGCAAGACTACAATTTTCACGTACAACTTTCTCTGCAGTTCTTGTCTTATTTATGCTATTGTGAGGGAATCTTGTTAATGTTCAAATGGTCAGTCAGTGATTTTCAAAGCTGATTGTACCTTGAGTAATTGTTCAGGAACATAACGCTGGTTCCCGGCCCATGAAATGTGACTGCAGCAAAATTTATTCAAGTAATGATAGAAACCCCATGCCGCAGCTACGACCGTCGTACCAGTGATGTTCACGGAAATTCCATCAGACTCAATCTAATATTCAAAATTCACACCAGTGATGTTATCAGCCGTCGATCTTAATTTTTAAAATACATTTCTATCAATGTAAAAGAATCTGCTCACCTTGAAAGTTATACTTTTCGTCCCTTTAATGAAGGCGTGGTCGAGCGAAATACCGGAAGTGTATCCAAATTGGGTGGTCCCTTGCCAGCATCAACAACGACATGATAGGCATTAGCTCTCGCTGGTATCAGTCGGCGAATCAAATCCTGCACCGCCTGGGCTTGCACAGGCGCTGGTGTTGTCGTCCGAATACCAGCCAAAGGGTATATGCAATTTAACGGACATTTTGTGATCGATATTTACATATAAATCTAAGAAATCAACCGACGTGGTTCATTCTTTTACATCGATTTTCATACAGACCATGGAGTTACTATAGCTCGTTGTACAGGCCCATAACTAAGAACTGCGTCCTCTCGTGACTGCTTTTAGTTCTAATAGTAGGCCTAAATTAACTATAGCATCATGCAGCCATAAAGAAAGCTGTTAAATAAGAACCTTAAAGGGAAGGAAATGAAAAGACTTTGAATCAACATCCTGTTTTATGACATAATGCAGTGGTAAGCAGGGATGTCTATAAACCATCAGTAATGTGAAGAATTACCAAAGGAAACAGAATATAATTTGAATCTCCAAAAGCTCTATATTTTCCAAGCCGATCCGATTATTCGTTCGTTTACTTTTTGCTCCGTTGTTTTTTGTTATAGTTTACTGAGGGGGGTACCTGCCACGCTGAAGCTTTGTACAGATATTACACCCAGAACTGTGGAAATGAAGGCAAACACCGGCTACAAACGCAAAAAAGGACAGTTCATGTTAAACAGTCGGATTATGTTAAGTACAGTGGAATTTATTTGCATCTTAAAATTCACAATTCAACTAAAAAAAATGTGTACATGACACACAAAAAGGTGTATATTCCAACATAAAAACTAATTTTGATTGAGACAGAATGAGGCAGCTAGGCAGATATATTGACCAACAGACAAACAGTAAACTACAAATGCTGAAAAAGACGAACACGATGGACGATTGCATTTTTCGCACAGGCAGTTGTTTGACACTATGAATATCCAAGCACTCACGTTATCACAGCATCAGTGTACCAAATTTCCACACGCCCACCTAATTTTTGTCATTCCAAACTACACGTGACTGATCGAAGTTTTATTTACAAATTTATTTCTACGGGTGTTTCTTCTTCGAGCATGCTTAGCTAAGGACAAGAGAAAAACATAGCAAAGATTTAATATCACATTGCTCCACATACATTACGTTTCCGAAGCCTATTCCAAATTGAGTATTTCCTTCTTGGAACTTGCAATCATTTTCAATTCATTAAACACATATCACTTCCTAATCAATGTCTGCCAATCCATTGTAACTTTGGCTTTTCATATGTACATCCATTGTATGTCTAGCTAGCTAACATACCTATAAAGTCTTCCTTCGCGAATTGACAAGTAAATTTCCCAATGTGCTCATAATAAAGCCATTTATGCTTAAAAATATTGACGACAAAAAATTCATCATTTGCCGATAAGTATGAATCACTTAGTGACAATTGGCGGTGACGTTGACTACTCAGTGACATATATGATAAAGTCACCGTTGGCAGTGGGCATTATTGATGATGAGTTCAGGTTGTACATGTGACACTGACTACTTCTCGGCGAGAAAGCGAAGGACAGACACTGGGCGTGGTTGATGCAATACAGAGAACACTGTGTAAGGATTACGGTCGTTTCTCTCGATATTGGAGCGGGACTTAGGATCAAACTGTGCTCGTACAGTCCCCTGAAGTACGCTGAAGTGTGGGCGAATTCTAAATACATGAAATACAACAAATAACAAAGGCTTAGGAGAGAGTTTGAGGTTGCGATTAAATGTTACGCAAACTAATGTTTTTCCATGCTTGAATTGATGATAGCATGAGAGCCGAAAGGTATAGAATAAGAGCAGGAGAAATGCCAACCCCTCCTGTTTTTAAAGGGGGTATCATATCGTTTGCCCCCTCCCACCCACCCACTTTTTTGGGGATGTTCATGGTAGCTTATTAAATGCCTCCAAATTTCGAAACGATATCCAATATGGTCGAAATATTGGGTAAAGCCGTCACTGTGAAACCGCCTCGGATCACATTACAGAGCATCTAGAATCCAAATTTTTACAAGACCCTGACGTCGCAAACTCCAAACTGTTACTTATTTAATGCCTCACACTCACACTGGTTTTGTTCTGGGTGTATACACCCCCCCTACGCGCAGACACCTACATTTAAAAATGACTGACACCCTTATAGGGTTTATTTTTCTTTTATTATTGCATGTATGGAGCACCGTCTTACCACATTCTGCAGTGGGGTACTCCTCCACTTCTACCTCAGCCATCTGCAGAATTGGATTTGTAACTCCTGGACGAGAGCAATTGATGTCAACAGTGATGTATCTAGCAAACCGGGGTGAGTCACAGAGGAAGTTATTTACAGACCCAGGCACGGCTTGGGCAGTTGTGGCCGGTAATCCACACGGTCGATTGTCGGCGTAGTTTGAGCTTAGGCCTGCTCGAACCACTGCACCGATGAAACGATCACCGTCTTATAATGACAAGTTTTAAAAGAGATCAACCACAATGGCAAATAGAACATTACGAAGGTTACTATTCAAATTGTGCGATTTTAACAAACAAGGGCGTAAAGGGAAAAGTATAATGTGCAAAAGTGAACAAAAGACAGAATAGTTGATCAGGAAAAGGATTCCACTATCAACAGAACGTGGCAATTTAGTAATAATGATTTTATATCACTCAGGACTGGCACATTTTTACCTCAGCTGGTGCACCACGTACGATGGGTCTTTACCATTGGGCGCATTCCCATAGCGTAATAGGGTCTGATAAAACTTAATTAATTTTGTTTAGAGATCCAATACATTACCACAGCAACCAATTCGATTCGACACAATGATGTTTCCTATACAGTGCGCATCCTCCAAGTCCAATTTCCACCATGGATGAGGATCCCTAGAAGGGTCTGTTGCAAGAAACAAAATATTCTTATTATGGTTACCACTTCCACGGCTGATATGTATGCTTTATTGGCGAGAGTATAATATAAAATCAGTGCTCTGGAATATGTGATTGCTGAGCTTTCAGTAACTGAGTATCTTCTTCAAGGCAAGCAGATTCTGTTCACTCAGGAACTCAGTTACCAAAAGCTCGACAATCACATATTTCAGAGCACTGATTTTATATCATATTCTTGACAATATTCTGATCACTGTGCTACGCAGCCCTCCCATATTTCTCTGATATATATGCTTTGTCCGCTGATTTCGCAAGTAATAATTAATTCTTATATATCTGATGGGCGTCGTGTTATTGTTTATCTTACCGGAATGTTGGAAAGTCGACAGACTGCCGTCAACAGCTGAACCTGAAGTTTCTCTTGTGCTTTGTGATGTTGGCTTCCCGATAACTGAAAGAGCTTTAGATTAACCCCCAGAAAGATTTTTACTTTGAAAAGTGGTAGATGAGTGAAGAGACAATATGCCCACGAGGAAGGCTCCAATTCAAACATTATTTTTCCAAACCTTCGGTTACAAATGTCCCTCAAACGTAAGTTTAATTAGTCTTTTGGCAAGTAGTTTGAAACACAAAATTCAATTTCATATTTTTCAGTTTAAACGTGATGAGGACAAAAAGTTTAAAAGACCCACGGCCGAATCTTAATCATGCCAAAGCAAATCTATTTCAATATAAAATTGGTCCTCCAACAAAACTCACCCACAAGGGCAGGCCTACACCAACAGCACTGATAGCATGACATCAGGACCACCAGAAATGGGATTAAATGGCGGTTTGAGAAAAAGGCCTTTCCTGCTTCAGACATTTCAAATCTTACAGCTGCTGGCACTTTCCTTAGCACTTGCAAAATGAATAATTTTCCAGACTCATAGACCTTTCTAGCACTGACTCTGATGCATTTCATAGGTAACAAAGACGTTAGTTGGCTCTGAACAAGTTTCCTTGACAGCTTTGTACTAACAACGGGGAATAACATTCCAGACAAAGACCTTTTATTGCCTACAGCGCATATTACAGGTAACTAACAAAGACGTTGGTCGATCCAAAACTAGTTGCCATGACAACTAGAAGCAGTAGGCCTACATTTAATAAGATGAAAAATTCAACGCATATACACAGTTCACACAGTGTGTAAGGCAGACCTATAATGTGGTAGTGACATCTGCCCGACGCAGTCTTTCATGACATTCAGAACTATGAGCAAATAACCAAACTTAGAAGCTCTTTGACGGAGAGCTATCGTGTGTAATCTTTAATTTTTCAAGAGGTTTTGCTCCTGGTTGGTTATTTATTTATCATTCCGGTGTGCCCACCAGTCGGACGGTATAGTGACGCATGGGTAACGGAAATTTGAAGAGTTATTCAAATGTACACAACTAGTGACAATCCTTACGTTTTAGGGTTATGAGGAGGTCGAGTCATTTTGTGAGTGGTAATTAATTAATGGTAACTATAAATTGCTCCAAGAGCCCACAACCATAACTCAACTTTTAAAAGCTTTGCTTAAAAATTTTAGTGGGTTTCCCCCGTAGGCCCTAAATACAAATGTATACAGTAGTGTTTTGACAATTGGGATTGTATGAATGCAAAACAGTGGAAATTAATGAACAATGAACAAAATGTTTTATGGTAATATCGAGCCATTATGTTTTATGGCACATGACCAGGTGATCATCGTAGTACGCACAGGGCCGGGAAGAAGCCTAGTAATGATTTTTTTCTCTGCAGTGACATCAGCCATCAGAAAGTGATAGCATGACATACGTGCCAAATTTAGCAGAGAAAATATTGAATATTTATTTAGAAACATTTACAATTTTCAGTTCAGTTTGTTCCGGGATTGGTGCCAAGTCAAGTGACTTCCATATGCGGAATTCTTCAATTTTCTTGCAAGTTCTATTAATTGTTAAGGGATGGCTTTCGTAACGATTGCATTGTACATGTATTGCCCAAGGCCCCTTCGGTGTTAGGGTTTTCATACTTTGTCACTGATGGTCATGAAAGTATGGTTGGGAAAAGGATGTTTTTGCAAGATATTAATTTCATCGTGTTAATACTTTGCATCGTGTCACAAATTGTGTTAGCTTTTGCCTTGTGACTTGTTTAACTCTTAATTTGGATTTTATGTTGAACCATTAGGGGGAGTATGAGTTGACCTGTTGTGTTTGAAGTGACAGCAGCCGCCGGTGTACAAAACGTTCCACTGGGTCTTTGAGACCGGTTCTATATCTCAAAGTTCAAATATGATTTTAGTGTCTTGCTACTGTACTTACAAATGATCCAGTTGACTCTGAAGTTAACAAGTGTGACCAAAACATATTTGGTCCATGCTGACCAATGAGATATACGACGGGATAGGAAGAAAAGATCAAAGGTCAAGTGGTAAATTGATCCACACCACAACGCAGATATTAAAGGAAAGCTATTTAAAAACGTTTATGTGCTATCTGCTTAAATCTAGGCTGAACAAATTTGCCCACTACGATAAGTATTTAGGGCGGTATTGATTTTACTGGTTGGAGTTTCAAAGTTCAATATCTTCACTAGGGTACTGCATTGAACACCTGTGCTATGATGTCTCAGATTTGAGCAGAAATCACCTCTCTCTTCAATTGGGATGATGAAATTGTGTGTGTGTGTGGTTTGATGCTGATTATTAACAATGCGTGGAGTAACAAAAGCAGTAACAATGGCATGGTGGACGATTCTTTCGTCATGTTTGGTGTTAAGCAACTTTTATGCTGCTGCACAGACAACTCCTGGTATGTACAATGTGTCTTTACATGGGCCTAATCTTTAAAAATATTTGAAAGGAACATTACATCCAGAGATTTGAGTTTTTTCTTTTGCTGAAGGCAATATGGGTAATTCTAGAAATAAGGGGTCCAAAAGTGTGCCTTTTTGTGTCCCTGTTAACATGGAAATATCACAGGAATTGATTTCAGACTATTAATATATGTTTGGCAGGAAATTTGCATTAACTTGTCACTCTTAGAATTTAGAAAATGTGTTCCGAACTTACAAAATCATTTGTCAGATCTGACAGGGACACCTGAAAAAATTAAGCCCAAATTTCTGGAATTGCCCATATGCATTTTACTTTTTATACCTTCAATACATAACCTCTCATTGGAGGATACATTAGACAGTCTAAGCATAAAAGCAGCGTGACTCTGCCTAGTGTCTGGCCAACAGATCATGTATTGAAGGAGATACATGTAGGTGGTATATCTCTTCAGCCATTGGAAACTGAGTGTCCAGACTTGAAACAAGTAACGGTGTCCAGACCTTGAAATGAGTAACGGTGTCCAGACCTTGAAACGAGTAACGGTGTCCAGACCTTGAAA